AGCAAAAAGGAGAGTGATAAAAGAAGAGGAAAAACAAGAGTAAACCTCAGCCAGGCGTTCAAGAGATGGAGGGAGCTCCGTGACCAAAGAGGCTTGAAAACCGATGTCCAACTAGCTTTCTTTCTATTGGATCAGTAAGTAACACGGCTAAATGTTAGCTAGACGAGAGAGGACTGTACTGTACTGGCTGCTAGTTAATTCCTAGCTGGCCAGCATCGCAAATTGCCGCAACCAGGGACAGGGTAGTGAGTGTTGGTCGGCTGACATCCTTGTTGTCATTCTATGGCAGCCCTCGGACAGTGATACCCCCCCTTCCGTTCTCTTCTCACGGGGGCAGCATCGACGGACATCGCCCAGCTAAGTAACACCCAGGTAAGTGAGCACTGAACTTTGTTTCCCATTCAATTTAGAATGGGAAACCGGCCGCGTTGTTTCCATACGGTACCGTTTATAGAATCGGGACTGTTTACATGTGCATATTGGTATAATTCCACTGTCTTCTGTTGTTTGTACTGATACTGTACGTATTGGTATAATTTACTGTAAGTTGTTTGTACTGGTACTGTGCATTCTGGTATAATTATTGGCATTACTTTTTGTTTTTTCTTCAGATAAATCTGATAATTGTTGCTTGGTCTCTTTACTCATTTATTTAGTAGAGTGTCCACACACCTTCTCATTCTACAAATACATAGAGCTATACTGGTGGTACATTTTATTGATTATCTCTGATCCCCATGGTCAATTTGGTTGTTGCAACAGTGCGACGCAACACCACTGACGCTAGGTGACACCAAGCTAAAAAAAAAAAAAAAGAATCCTATCTGTTGCCTCTTTAAACGAATGACATTCCATCAACCTCTGCTGCACTTTGTGTTTAGCACTTAAGGTGTGTTCACACCGGACCTGTTTTTTTTTTGTTAGAGATGAGTTTACATACAAAGTCAATACAAACGGGCGATTGAGCGTATATTCGCCCGTATATTCGCCTCGGGCTCCAAACGACAGCGAGAGAGCCAGAGAGCGAAATTTCGCTTGTCGTTTGAGATGAGAAATCCCATCTGGAGCTGTATTGCGCTGGGTCCTGATTGGCTGCCATAATCCCGGAATCCCAGGGGGGTGCTTGGCTGTCAAGACATGTCATCCATCCATCCATCTTCTAACCGCTTCATCCTCTTGAGGGTCATGGGGGGCTGGAGCCTATCCCAGCTGACATTGGGCGAGAGGCAGGGTACACCCTGGACAGGTCACCAGACTATCGCAGGGCTGACACATAAAGACAGACAACCATTCACGCTCACATTCACACCTACGGACAATTTAGAGTTATTAATTAACCTATTCCCCAATCTGCATGTCTTTGGACTGTGGGAGGAAGCCGGAGTGCCCGGAGAGAACCCACGCTGACACGGGGAGAACATGCAAACTCCGCACAGAAGGGCTCCCACACCCGGGATCGAACCGGGAACCCTCTTGCTGTGAGGCGACAGTGCTAACCACCACACCACCATGCCGCCCCAAGACATGTCAGCTTCATTAAAAGTATAGCTGCAAATTAAAAAAATAAAAACAAAAATAGATGTAAAAACACACAGACACAATACATCTGTGATCAGTTCCCTAATTTAATTTTAATATTTTTTTCAATCTTCTCCAATTTCTCATTTTATTTTATGGAAGTGATCAATGTAAGTGCATTTGTCCTAGAACCGCCACGACGGTTTTTATAATGCAAATAACTCTGTTTAGATAAAACCTACAAGCTTCTCTTCCGATGACTTTTCCTAAAAATGTGTGTTGTATGTTTTCTGAAGCCTTTAAGTTACAAAAATGAAACACACTGGACTTCTGAGCATTTATACCTCCGACTGCAGCAGACCGCTGCTGAAAGTTATACATTTTGATACATACAGGTAGGCTATATACATATTGCAAAACTCTGTAAAAGTACACCAAAGCATACATTTTCGTTTTCGAATATTTATTTGAAAACGAAACCATTCATACGGTCAGTAAAAAAACATTTTGTTAATAATAAAATACAAATGTAATCTCAATAGTGACCGTGCCAGCCGGTGGGACTGCGGCTGAACCGCTTCCAATGTTCATTCATTCATTCAATCACGTGTTCAATGTGTGTGTGTGTGTGTGTGTGTGTGTGTGTGTGTGTGTGTGTTGTTAGTATGTCAGAGAGGAGGAGTATCAATAAAAAAAAAGTTTCCACTAATTATTTTGGTGTTTATTTATTTTATTCTTAAGTTTTTTTTTATTAAAATGTGTAATATAGCCAACAATATTATAGACCAAAAGTTAATCTAATTTATTATTGTAGAATGTATTTGGCAAATCGCCACTTTCAACTGGAGACACAGTGCAGCAGCAGCGCAGCAGCAGCGCAGCAGCAGCAAAAAAAAAAAGGCATTATAAAAAGCCGACAAATAGTGTTAATTAATTGATATGAGACATTGGAGAGGTTGCCAGTCCTATTCTATAGTCTGTAATTTTTTTTTTATTTTTTTTTTATCATAACTTCTCAGAAATTACTTAAAAATGCATTCATTGTGTGCTTCTGAGCACACGGGCAGCATAAACAATGAAGTTACATATGATGGTCTGGCAGATCGTTGCGGCGCTTGGAGGCAGTTGACAGTGACAGTTTTTTCAGCAGCCATTTTTCTTCCTACCAATAACCTATGGTTGAGGCAGCTCCAGCTCCAACTCCGCTCACATGCTCTGACTCAGGCATCAGAGCCTCTGAGTCACAGCGATAGATGCATTTGCGCTGTCCGTGGTGCTAGGACCGCCAGGATTACAGAGCCCCTCCAAGCACCGCAGTCCCGCCAGCTGGCGTGGTAACTGTTGAGATTCGTTTTTTATCATTAACAAAATTGTTTTTTATTGACCGTATGAATGGTTTTGTTTTCAAATAAATATTTGGAAACGAAAATGTATGCTTTGGTGTACTTTCACAGAGTTTTGCAATATGTATAGCCTACCTGTATGTATCAAAATGTATAATTTCGGTCGGAGGTATAAATGCTCAGAAGTCTAGTGTGTTTCATTTTTGTAACTTATAGGCTTCAGAAAACATACAAGACACATTTTTAGGAAAAGTCAGGAAGAGAAGCTTGTAGGTTTTACCTAAACAGAGTTATTTGCATTATAAAAACCGTCGTGGCGGCTCTAGGACAAGTGCACTTACATTGATCACTTCCATAAAATAAAAGAGAAATTGGAGAAGATTGAAAAAATTATTAAAATTAAATTAGGGAACTGATCACAGATGCATTGTCTCTGTGTGTTTTTACATCTGTTGTTGCTTTTAATTTGCAGCTATACTTTTAATGAAGCCGACATGTCATGACAGTCAAGGCCCCCCCCCCTCAAATACCCTGATTGCTTCAATGACGTCATCAAAGTGAAAAAGCGAGTCTGTTGATTTCTGCCACATTGACGAGCGATTGCAACTGAGCGATGAAGCAATATCAAAGGGGCGAACCGAGTGACAGCGAATAAAATAAAAAGTCCGGTGTGAACACTGCTTTAGCATACTGCCATGCTAACTTGCTAAACTAAGATGAAGAAGATGGTAAACATATACCTGCTAAACACTACCATGTTACCTTTGTCATTGTGATGTTAGCATTTAGTTCACAGCCCCTCTGCAGACTTGTAGTATTGTTTTCTTTACCATTTCTTCTCCTCTCTCACAGAAATCATGTTGCTCGGTGCTGATATCAGAGCTAAACCAGCGATTTGGCAGCAAAGAGGAGAGTGCAGAGCAAGATGCCTCAGACAAAAGCAAAGCCTAAAGGAGAAATTTATGTGTTAGCTTGTGATAAGATAGTATCAGAGATGATTGTTGTTCCATCAAGCACACTAGCTTTTTTGTGTTTCCATAGTAACAGCATGTGTTGTGTGGTCAGTAAGTGTATTTCGTTCTTTTCCAGGAAAGTTCAGTGACCACATGGGACATATCGACTAGCAGCTACAGAGTATTAGGCATCGAATCAAGGCAATTATAGCTTCAAACTGAAAATACTAATCAATCTGATTTATTTACCGTACAGTGTTCTTGCATGTACTTATATTTCTTGTTGAACTGTTATAGTTTGTATTTGCTTGTATATTCAAAATAAATCCCCCAATATCCCAAATGCCCTCTTGGTTGTTCTACAATCTTACTATATAATGGCAAAAACTCTGTCTGTGGGTGTGTCTGTGTGTGTCTGTTCCACGTTTTTCTCCTCACTGACTTGGTCAATCCATGTGAAATTTAGCAAAGTGGTAGAGGGTCATGGGAGGATGCGAATGAAGCAATATTACATCAATTGGCCAAAGGGGGGCACTATAGCAACTGATTGAAATTGCAAACTTTGAATGGGCATATCCCGTGCCCCATATGTCGTAGATCATAACTTACAGATTTTCTGGCATTTTGAATTTTTTGAAAAACACTTAAAATCGATCTCTTCCTAGGAAGTTTGACCTATCTGCATGAAACTCGGTGGACATAATCTAGGGACCAATATCTAAAGTTCCCTCTTGGCAAAAGTTGGAAAACTTACTAAAACTGAGCTTCTATAAGGCAATGAATATTGCGGAGGGCGTGGCTCATCACATAAAGGTGTATAACATCTCAAGGGTTTCACCGATCACCACGCAAATGTGTAGGCATATGACCACACATAATCTGAGGGGACCTCTCCATTATTGACCCGATCAAACAAAATGGGGGCGCTAGAGAGCTAATTTCTTATCTAG